TGGGTAAGACAGGACAAGTTTCAACTGAAGCAAGAAAGTCCGATGTGCGGAGAAGCCTCCGGACAGTATGAGAAGTCTTGGAGTAGGTCTGCAGATTGCCGGAGGCACTCTCGGACTGTCCAGCCTATGAGGAGGAGGTTGTTGAGACCTCCAGCTGCCTCTCAAAAATGAGGTCGGTATCGGTCATCCCAAGGCAGGGATTTATTAGGCTACTCAGGTCCCAGCTAATCATAACATTTACTTCTTCAGTGAAATTTTTCAGATATTCTTTCACTTCCTTGGGCTTCAGTGAATAAAGAAAAATATTTAATGAAATGTAAGTCTGAGCAGCAAATTCTCCCTGTCTTCAGCGAAGGGTAGCTGGTGGCCATGGGCAGGACGCTGCTACTCCTTGGGCTCTGTTGCTGGCTGCCTGGGAAGCATTTCTTGTGAGAAAAGAGATGAAAATGGCCTTGGCTGCCCCACGCCTGTGCCGCGATGTGGTCGCTCAGGGTAGCAGGCCTGGCTTGGGCACAGCTCACAGCGTAATTCGCTGCCCCTGCTGCTTTTCCCTGTTTGGAGGGAAATAGTAGCTGCTTTGGCAGCACCGTGGCCGTCACCAGCCTGGGAGCACGAGCCTCCAGCATGGCTCTGGCTCTCCTCCCTCCTCTGGCCGCTTCCCCAGGGGCAGCTGGTGGAGTGTGTCCAGCTCCGCTTCCCGCCCGTGCCAGCTCCCTGTGGGCTCACCCTGCTCCTTCCTCCGTGGCTCGTTGCAGCATTGCCACCTCCGCCACGGCCTCCCTTGTGGCTCAAGCCTCACGAGTTGTCGTTCAGGCTCTTCGGGCAGTGTTGGGGACGGAGCCGGCCCGGGAAGCTGCCTGGGAGGGCAGGGGATTGCGGTGCTGTCTGTCCTGAATTATAAACCAGCGGTTCCCAAGCTCTCACCCTCTCCAGCCTGGTGCAGCTCAGTGGTTCTGGTGCTGTACAGCATGACCCACGGCGTGCTTGGCACCGTCGGCTTCTGCTGCTCCGGTGGAGTGTGGGGCCAGCAGAGCTGCCCTGGCTGCGTAGGTCAGGAAGACTCGGTGCAGCAGCAGTTGTCGCAGTAGGGCATGATGTGGCAGGTGGTTCTGTGTCCATTTTTATTTCCATCCCTATTGTCCTATTTTCTCTTTTTATTAAAGGAAAGGTTTGTTTTCATTGTTTGTAACCCATTAATACGTAGCATTTTACAGTTCAAAACTGGATTTGGTGTTTTGCTCACTAAGGATCTGATGTAACTTGGAAAGATTTGGGCTGTGTAGATTGCTGTAAGCATATTCTTCTTTTAAATATTTTTATGCATTCTTTCACCTCACTGGAGGGAAAGGAACACTCAGTCTCGCTTTGAGTCAAGCTGCACTTTGAACTGTGCTTGGAACTGGGTTAAAAAGCACAGGAACCACATTTGAAATGTTAAGATGCTTTTATTTATATGCTGGGCACACACAAAAAGACTTGTAATGTGTTTTTTGTTTCAAAGCGATGTATTAAACAAAGAAAGTATTGACAGCAGTTAATGAATCAAGGGATTGTTTCTGGGCACTGAGATAGATTTACCAAAGGTATTTAGATGTCTGATGCATGGGATTTTCAGAGCAGCTTAAGCAAGTGCTCGCCAGCATGGACACACGAGGTTCCTCTCCCAGAGTCGAGCAAACCTGGAGCTGGGCCCAGCTGAAATCTTTTGGCAAGCTGCTCCCTCTCTCCTGTGCACGCAGAGCCCCGGCTCGGAGGTGTGCTGCCAGCCGACAGGCTCGTGCCTGTCCCGGGCTCTTGGCATTGCCTTCCCCAACTCGCCTTCCCTCCAAAGAGCCCTTTCAAGGCTTTGGGAAGTGTGCGTTGCCTCTCCCAAAGACACGGTCAGCTGCTCTCTGTGGGGTGCAGAGCTTTCCTGGCCGGCGGCTGCCATCCTGCACACACAGCTCAGCCTGGGAAGCAGCTTGCTGAGTCCGTGGCAGGACAGAGGACAAGTGTTTCCCCTGGAGAGGACAGCGCTGGTGTTAGCCGTGTGGATTTGGGTTTCCCGGGGGGCTCCTCACCCCCATTTGTGCGTACTCGATCCCCATATAGGCTGAGCGCACGGAAGGCAGGCGAGTGCCCCAGGAGCAGGCTGGCTCTATGTTATCTGTATTTTTTCATGTGCCCAGTGACCTGCTGGGACGTGGAGAGCAGGGTGGCACAGAGCTGTGTCCCTGTGTTCCCACCGCAGGGAAGGAGGCTGGAAGGAGTCAACGGAGCAGGAGCTGTGGGACCTGCTCTTTGGAGAGACTCGGTGCTCCGGAGCTCTTCCCACCCCTCTGCACAGGTCTGCTTTGAAAAGCTACTGAACAAGTTTGCCAGGGCTGAGCATTTTGTCCTTCCAGCCTCTTCAGCTGCACCAGCTTGTCTGAGGCGCCTGGAGTTGGGGCTGGGATCTGCGGCTGGAAGCTGGGGAGGTGCCTGTGGAGGAGCATCAATCCCGCTGGGTTGGGGCTCTGCTGCCTCTGGGTGCCTTACAGGGTCTGTCCTCGCGGGGAGGAGCGGGAGCTGCCGATGCCTTTCCCAGCAGGCAGTGACCGCTCGGGCCCCTGGCAGTCAGACGTGCCCCCGGCACTGCCGGCTCGGCTCCGTCGGACCCTGACAGGCAGCGTTCAGAGGGGCGAGGGGCAGGCAGCGAGCCTAGTTATAAATCTCTCTTTATGCTCTGGGTTATGAAGTAATATTTTCCTGGCTGGGGCTGGTTGGATTGGGGAAAAGTGGGCTCCGCTACGAGTTCCCTGCGGCTGCCATCCCAGTGTGGTGGGAGCTTGCACAGCGGCTCTGCTGGGATGTGCTGCTTCTTCCACAAACACTCTTTGTCCCCAGGGTCTCGCCATGAATCCTGCAGCCTTGTGTTGCTCCTGGAGCTCCAGAGAAGCTCTTCAGCAAACCAGATCAGGCTCAATCCTGTTCCCCACCCACCAGAGCCTGGCTGCAAGTGTCCTACCTCCCCAAGGGCAGCGCCCGCTCATTCATGGCAAAGAGCGCCGAGCTGGGACGCTTGCCCGAGCTCAGGCAACTAGCACGGGCCCTGGCTGCTACACAGATTTCATGTGCCGTGGTCTCTTTGTGCCGTCCTTTGTCAAGGGAAGGAGCCCGCAGCGTGGTGCCAGGCTGGAGAGCCTGGCTGCGGAGAGGTGAAGCCAGCTCCTCATGGGGCACTCGCACCGATCTTTGACTTTCTGGTAGCGTGCAGGGATGGTAGCACGTGCGGGGGAAAAGGGGGGCTTGTAGCTCATGTGAACTGTAACATGTTGCTGGCCTGAAAGGGTTATTTTGAAATACTGCAGATCACCAACGTTAGTCCAACCAGTGGTCAAAGCAGCCTTGGCTTCATGCCGTGCTTGGTTATGCATTGACCCCGCTGGGACGGGTGCCCTGGCTCCCTTTGCCTCCTTGCCTCCCTCTGCAGAGGATCCGGCAGCCCTGAGAAGCGCCTTCCTGTTCGCTAATAGTTTTCAGATGAGACTCGAGAGTTTGAGCTGGATTGGGTGTTTTCTGGGCCAAAACAGCTCAAGCTGTTAATAGGACCTGCAGCATTTCAGCAGGCGTAGGGTGTCCCTGGGCAGGCTGGTTTCTGGCTGCTCCGGTGGCTTGTAGGTCCGGTCCTTGGTTGTATGCCGTGGCTGCGGGAACTGGAATGCTGAGATTTGCCTGAGGGAGGTGGAAAACTGGCCCGTGCGGCCGGGAGGGGATGGGAAAAGAGGACGTGCTCGGCTGATGGGAATGCCCCAGCTCATACATCCCATCAACAACATGTTATAACCCAGGTTTGTTCTTTTTGGTGGATTTCTGGGCAGGGCAGGCAGCATATTCTTCAATTTCTCTCTGAATAGCTGAAAGGCAGTAGACTTAAAGGCTTCTAAAGACTATTATAACTTCTCTCACCTCCATCTCTGCAAAAAGAACCCATGCCCGCACTTGATGCTGTTGCTGCTTTTGAAAAGTTCAAAAATTTACTTTGCTCAGAGCAAAGCTTTGAAGTGCTGCTCTGTGGGAATGGCAAAGCATCTCAAAAGCATTTCACTGAAAGCTTGGTTAACCTACGTTTGTGGGCAGCTACCTTCAGAAAATTACTTTGTGGGGGATTGCATGGGGAGATGTAAAGGTGAACTGTGAAATTGAATCGATTTAACAAGAAAAGGTTAAATCTGTTTGTTTTGCTCCTATTCAGGGCATCCAGCTGGTGGTTGCAGGGTCACCCTTTTCTGTATGCAAAAGCTCCTGCATAAAGGCTGTTTTGTCCCACTTGTCTTCTTGTTTGCATAAGTGCTGTGAGGGTAAGCTGAAGAAGCAGGAGTGAACCTCTTTAAGATGCAGGGCTGGTGCCTGATTGTAGCAGAGAGGAGGTGGCATTTCTGCCTGCAGCCGCTGGCTCTGCTCTTGCTTTTGGGAGTGTAAATTGGTATTAGCATATCCTGGTTGGATCCAGGGCTCAACATCAGCTGCTAGGTAGGAGAGAATCAAGTCCTACCTCTCTTGGCTGCTCAGATGAACCCCTGGTTTGAATGTTGGTGTCTTGGGAGAGTGCGGGGTGCCTGGCTGTGCAGTGACAGGTCTTCTTCTCTTTGCAGGCACTGGGAAGGGAGACGTAGCATGCCACGCTGTTCTGGGCTGGAAACGCTCCGTCCTTTTGGCCCCTGGACTCCAAGAAATTTGCTGCTTTTTTGGTGAAGCAGACCCTGATCTCCTGTTTCTTTGCTGCATGCCCACTCACAAGTGCTGGATTATGTTTGTCTCCTTCTCCCTTTGCTCCATAATTTGGTTGAATCGTGGTTTCAAGCTAAGGAAAAGGGGCTGTACCTAAGCGTGCCGGGTCACCCAGACCAGGCTCCTGGGGTACTGGTTCATGCAGAGACATTCAGAGTGCTGATGGGGGAGAGCTGCCTCTGAGGTCCTTCTTCTCCCACCCGAAACACACTGCCTCACCCTTCAGAGCCGTTCTCCCCTCAGCAGAGAGAATGGGCAGCACCGACGGATTCCAGTACCGCGCGCTCTACCCCTACCGCAAGGAGCGCGAGGAGGACATTGATCTGCTGCCTGGGGACATCCTGATAGTGAGCAAGGGGGCCTTGCAAGCCTTGGGCTTCAAAGACGGGGATGAGCAGACCCCCAACCAGATTGGGTGGATCCTGGGCGTCAATGAGCGGACCAAGCAGAAGGGTGACTTTCCCGGCACGTATGTGGAGTACGTGGGGCCCGTGAAGATCTCCGTCCCCTCTCACCGGCCCCGAGTGCAGAGACCCCTGCCCGCAACGCCGGGGGCCAGCGGCTGCCGGCTGCAGGACGCTCTGGAGCAAGGTAAGCCCTGCTGTGTGCTATGTTGCTCTGAGACACCTCCACCCTCGGCGTGCAGCGGATGAGGATGTGTGAGTGGCTTTGTGGGACAGCGATGAAGCCCTCGGCTCGGCAGCACCGGACTGCCTTGCCGGCAGCAATGCATTCGAGTTGCCTGGGCTTTGTGGGCTCACGCTTAGTCCTGGCTGAGAGAAAAGCACGTTGTTCCTCCAGCTTATCAATCTACTTAGCAGAGCTTCTTGGAGCAAGCCTTGTACCACTCTTACCTCTCCAAGATCCTTCTCCCTCTGTGGCCCCTGACCAGCCAGGATCCCTGTGGTCCTTGGTCCATTTCCCGGCTCTGCTGAGGGTTCTTCTCCAATCCCTCCCTTTAGGAATAAGTCCTGACCTCTCCCAACCACTTCCCTGCCTCTGCCTCTGGAGCGCCCGGGGCATTGCTCCCTGCCAAGAGCCGCTCGGCTGTGCTGAGACACACAATTACTTGTCTCTGGGCAAGAGGAGAAAAGTCAGGGTCTAAAAGAGTACTTCCGAGAACTGGAGTTAATTGCTTGTCTGCCTGGCACCCATCCTTCCCCACGGATTGCAGAGCTCTCGCTTGGGGCTGGGCAGACACCCTCAGGCAGGGTATGGGCCGCCCTGCACCTGCGGCTGCCTCCCAGCCAGCGCTGGGCTTGGCACTGACCAGGTCCGGGAGCTGGGAGAACCACTGTGCCTCAGCGCTGCCTGTAGAGCTGTGGCAGCTGCCTTCTCTTTGCCTGTTTTTCTTTTGGCTCATAGGCCCCATGGTATGGGCTCGGCAGGCTCCGGGTGCTCTGAAACAGCAAACAGGGGTGATAGTCATGCTTCGCCTGCCTTTGCTTTTCCCGTGCCTTGCAGAAGACTTTGTGCTGGTGTGCACGGGAGGATTAGGGTCAGCAGCAGGAGCTGGTGGGCATCTGAGCACACGCCCGGTCCTCCCCATCCCTCTCTGCCTGGGAGCCACGTCTGTCCCATCAGATGCTTTTAGCTGTGTGAAACATCTCTGGGGTCTTAATGAATGGAAGGGAGGCCTTGTCTCAGAAAGAAGGGTGGTGGGGCTGGGTGTGCAGCTCCCCACAGCTGCCTCCCATGCTCCTGCTCCCAGAGCCGGAGGGACAGCCCCAGGAAACATCTCCGCAGGGTGGGAATGCAGCCGGGCCGTGCGTTTGGGTTGGCAGTGAGAGCCGCTGACCTGAGTCATCCCACTTGCAACCTGCCTTTCCAAGAAAGCAGCTCCTCTTGGGAGCCTGGGGCATGCTCTGCGGTGGATGCGTCGGCCTTGCCTGCATCCAGCCCTGCGCTCCCTCAGGGGCTGTATTTATGTCTTTATGGGCTCTCTCCTTCTCCTCTTCTCCAATGGGGCTTGGTGGACTTGTGTCTGGGTAGTCAAAGCTGCTGCCCTGCACGGGGGTGGGGATCTTTGGGATGTGGAAGAAGATATGTGCCCAAAGCTCCTGAGAAAAGATGTGTTTGGGAAAGAAACCAAAAGCCAGCCTGTCTGCATCCTGCCCGGGGATGAAGGGGGTCGGGTACTAGTGCATGTGACAGGGATGCCAGCCCTGTCCCTCTTCTCTCCGGGTGCATCCCCCCAGCCAGCCTCCACCCTGGGCACAGCCGGGGCCCGCATGGTGGCAATTCAAATGCCCAAAGCCATTTTATATGCAGCCTGTTAGGATGCTGGTGGGGAGACACATATTTGCAACTGAGAAACTGTATTTAAGCCAAGCCCGTGTTATTTCTTCGTGGTCTGCACTTCGTGAGGTGCAGAGATGTCTCCTGGCTGCCCCACGAAGCTCATAGCTGACAGCATTTCTGCCCTGTTTCCCAGGTCCTCTCCTGGCTGGCAGGGATCCCTTAGCCCTCCCGTGTCACACGTGGAAGAGGGCCAGTGCCACGGCTGTCGCACAGCACGGGAGCAGGGCTGGCCTCGCAGAACGGCGAGGCCCAGTGCTTTCTGCCGATGAATTTATGACCTGCTGGTGTTTGCCTTCCGCAGAGAACACGAGCGGAAAATGTGGCTCGGAAATATTTCCGCAGCTGCCCGGGCCGTGCTGTGAG